GTAAATAAAGATCTAAATGTTGTCCTGATGGTCTTCTTGTCTTGTATACCTTCCTGTCAGAAGAATCAAAGAAAGGTTGAAGCAGCTGTAACATATGGTCAATATCTTGAGAATTTTATGTTTATGTGTTTGTGGTCTAAAGGTCTGAGTCATTTCACTCAACAGTAGTTCTTTATCTTCCTATTTAACTGTACAAAATAGCAAATGGTCAGAAAACAGGTAGCACTTTAAATACATAGAAAGGATAGAATGTTATCTTCCTCTTCCATAAGGTCACCTGGATAGATTTATAAGGTAAATAAAATGTCCATAAGGCATGATGACAACTATTTTCCTTTCTGTCTGACATGGATATTAACATTTTAAAGGCATGAACTAAAACCTTTTCAATATCTCACCTTTGTGTAAAGCAATTCTTCACCCTATGCGGAGGATATGAGTTTTTGCACATTTGCACATTTTTGAGGATATTTTCCACTTCTGAACACTTTTGGTGAAAAGTAAATAGAACTTGCTTTTTTGGTGAAATGCAGATGAAATCTGAGTATCTCGCCCCACCTCCATGTGGATACCCGGTATTACTGGAGAATGAGATATTTTTGAATACCTCTTGCACTCTTTATATATAATGACACCAAATGCTAGTAACAATGGCAGAAAAATTCAATTAGCAGTGCCATGTTGGTTTGAGATGCTAGTGCATAGGAAGACAGGAGAACTAATAGTTCCATCAAGACAGAGAGACTGGATGCTTCATGGGTTTTCATCCAGTCTTCTTGGAGTCTGGAGTCATGTTTTCTTACAATATGTGCAAATTCCTATGGGAGCTCCCCCCAAAAGACGTGGAATGTGGATCACTTTGTATGGCTCTCCCAAGTAAAACTGGCTTTTGCAGGAATGAAACCTGAGACTTCTGGACCCTTCTCCCCCAAATCTGATGTGCCCTCCACTGAAATGTGCTGAAAGAGAAGTCTGTGTATGGCATTACACATTACTCATAGGAAAAGACAGCAATGTTTGATAAAGCTGAAGCCAGCAGGAAAGAGGAAGACCCTATGCACATGAATAGATCCAATCATGGAAGTTATGGCTGTGTCTCTTCAAGACCTGAGCAAACCTGTTATTAACAGTGTATCTTGAAAATCTCTCATTTATAGGGGCATTATGATTCAAAGGCAACTCAGTGATACATAAAAACAACAGCTAAGTGATTGTAAACTTTTCAGCTGCAGAAGGTAAATTTTTGAAGTTCTCACAGAATCTTCCTCTGCCAATTTCTGCCAGTTTCCCATAGTCCTTATGCTCCAGCCTTCTACAAATAGCAGGATTCCTAACTATGTAGAATATCCCCTCTAATTCATTATAAAATTCTTGATTTTCTGTTTGCATGCCTTTTACCAAACTCAACACCAATATTAATGTTAAGACGCTTTGTCGATGCAATGTGATATAAAGTACAACACACACTCATAACATAAATATTTCTCTGCTAGATCAAGTTCATTAGTTGAAACTGGAATTAATGTTCACCAATGCACCATCTTTTGAAGATGTGAGTGAGAGCAATTTTTTGAAATTACTGCTTTCACTGTTTTCCAGTGTTCGTTGTTTTGCTGTTGTATGCACTACTCATGAGATAATTCCTGCAAAATCATCATAGAAATTGGTTAACTTGTGTGAAGAAACACCATAACACATTGATAAGCTATAGTTTCATTAAGACTGTGGAGTTGGGCTGAAAATATGATCAAACAGAAATAGTCAATACTTTCTGTCTTAAACACCTGTTCACCTGTGCCAGGCTAGAATAAAAAAGAATTAAAAATTAATCACATTTTGCTTTTGATCATTATCTGTGAACAGCATCACTGGAATAGCTAATTTTGGTCAAAATTTTATAGGACTAGTATAGAGTATGTAATTTGAAAGCATAACTGACTTTGGTTTGTTGGGTTAGTTCATTTTAAGTAGCAGTAATATGAAAAAAAGTCAGATCATTCAAACTGATAAATTACTCAAAGAAAGGCTTAGAAATGTGAATTATCATAAATTGAATGACAAGCAGTATGAACTTTTCATTCAAATGGTCTCAGAAAGAATTTCTTTTCAGAATTCCTAGGACTACGTTTACTTTCTGTATGGCTTTGTGCCATTTCTCTCAGCTGTGTTGCCTGAAACAAATGTAAGCCTAACCCCTGAGTTATATCAGTAACAGATTTTAAATGTATTCTGGCTCCAAACACAAACACACAAGATACATGAACAAGTTCTTGCTGACCTATACAGTGCCGGCATTATAATAGGTCATATTTCAACTACTGTATGTTTGATAAATAAGCTGGCTCTAAAAGCTCTGTCCTCGGTGCTGAAATCTCTTATGATGTATGGGCACATCTGGCTGATAAATTCTAATGTCGGGGTGTATGTAATAACGATTCATCAGGCTTCTAAACAGTGTGCTCAGTAAAATGTCCTGAATTTATAAAGATTCAGATTATAGATATTCCAGAATTACCACTGGAATTCACTCTACCCCCTCTCGTCTGCAAACATGCACATTCCACATTACAAACATTTTTGTAAATGAATTGAGAATTATTTTTTAAAAAATCCATGAGATGAAAGATAGTTTTTCACGGTCCAAAGAGATATCTCCTCCATAGCTTATGCCATAGTTTCTAATGAGCCTGTGAAAAACTGATAGAATGAAGATGTCTGTGCAAAAGAGGAGGACATGGAAACACTTAAAAAATATTATGAGTATGATATTTGTGGTTAGTTTCTGCAGAGTCTGGTTCAGACTATTTTGGACACAATCAAGGCATTTGATAAGAGACAGCAGAGGTCATGTTATCCTCAGGGTTGCTTACTGAACAATCTGTTGGTGATTCAGTGAGCCCATGGCATAGTATTGTATATTTTTTGAGTCACATATTTCCCTAGTGAGAATAAAGCTGCTGATATACCTCTCATTTGCAGCTCCTTCCTATTCAATATGTGCTCAAAACTTTGCCACTTGAAGCAAATTCCAAGTGGTGCCTCCATCCATTCAGACCATCATTTGTGGTGGTGGTGGTGGGGGGAGGAGTGATGCTGCACCATTCAGAAGTAATTCTTCTCTTATTGTGCCCCTGAAGTCAGCCATTCCTGAATTGCAGAGTCCTCCCTGCATCTTGCATATTTGCTATTTCCATCTTGCCTCTTTCCATTCCTGGTGGACTGCTTCCCCAGTATTATATCCTTTCTGATTTCAAAATAGTTGTGATTTAAACTTTTATCTACATGCTGGATCTGACACTAACAGAATACATAATTTCTTTCCTTGGAATAACATAACTGATTAATGATACAGTGACTAATAAAAAAACACTTTACTGGCTAAGGCCGTTATTTTTTATTAGTTTATTTAGATTGTTTTTACTTGCTACTGTCTCAGTTTTTTTTCTGGAGAGCAGAACTTTGTTTGCATTATCTCAGATATGCCTGTGTTTTGAAACTTTCTTCCAAAACCTTCAGAATTATATCAAAAGAACCAAGCATTGTTTAAGCTCATGCATGAATTATTGAAAACTCTTCCTTTGATTTGATTGATTCAGGAATTAACCATATACTCTTTGAGGTAAGTGCCATTTGTCTGCATATTAAGTTTGGGGAAAAACATGTTAATAGTGCTTGTTATTACATGACTATAAATATTGCAAGTTCCTAACATAAAGTACTCTGCTATATAAGATTAAAGCTCTATCCAACCCAGAATCATCTTTGTCTATAATGGACAAGATCATATGCCTAAAAATCTTGCAAGCAGGTTATTACAAGGTTTACTGCCCTGAGTCTCTCCGGGGAGAGAGGGCAGGGCATAAATTATTATTATTATTATTATTATTATTATTATTATTATTATTATTATTATTATTTAAGGGTGTTTCAGTTAAGTTAATCTCCAGAATGTCTGAAAAGCAATAGTCTAAAACAGGGATGGAAATGATGAATTCCTCCAGATGTTGAACTTCAGCTACCTGCATTTCCCACCGTTAGTTGTGTCAGCTTAAGTATTCCCATTGTGGATCTAAACAGCATGGCCGAGCTGAGTCACTGTTGAACATTGATGTGATTAATGTGATTTCAATATTTTACTGGACCGTAGCTTTGGATTTGTTTGTCATGCCACATCTTAATGCAGTGGCTCAGTAAGTGAAATAAGAATAAGCAGAGAATGGTTTGATGGACTTGGGGCAGGGGAGTCAAACTCAATTTTACCAAGGGCTGCATTAGCCATATGGTTGCTTTCAAAGAACCGTTTGCCATTGCAAGACTGTATAAATGTAACTACTTTGCCCTGGCATTGAAAGATTTGTGGCCCCATAAAATGACGTAGTTAGCCAGATTTCAACTGTTGCCCTTTAGATTGACATGTGTGAACTGAGGATTTTAAAATATATTACTCATGAAAAATGCTATAAAAGATAGCTCTCTCTCTGTGTGTGTGTATAAAATGTAGAACCAGGAAGATGATTATTTTATTGTATACTCCGAAAACTAGTCTTACTACTCAGCTAGTGAGACACATGTGTCCTTTCTCTCTCTATATATATATGTATGTATACTTAGAATTGCTTGGAACATAAAATAAAAAATAACATTTCTCTTGACTGGGAAATCCTTTGGTTGTCCAGACTTCGTGGAACTTCAGTCTTCATCACCTGTCCAGTGGGAAGCAATCATAAGTCAGTTCTCAAGTCCTATATATTTTCACAGGAAAGACTGTGTATATTAAGCAGACATTGAAATGCACAGGCTAAATCCAGTGGATTCTAACCCTTCTCAACAATGAACATGAATCCTAAAATTCAGCAACATGAAGTGAACTTGTTAGTTGCAACATTAATTTCCAGTGATTTGAAGAGGTCTACTTTACATAAGTCAGACATTGGGTTTTGACCTACATGATGAAGAGTAGGTCCCTGAAGAACTTCTTCGAAAGAAAACAATCCAAACTATTTTGGTTGTAATCAAAAATTGTATTTTTCCCCATTAAAAAAGTTTCACATACTCACTGTGTCTACTCTACAGAATGTATCCATTTCATTACACCACGTGTCAATTCTAGTTTTATCAGTTCACTGCAAAAGCTCGTGGCTAATGTGTGTCATACAGCACAGGAGGAGGGCATTATTCAGTTCCACTATTCCTACATTTAATTAAAAAAAACAACAAATACAGAAAATTTTCTCATCTACTTGCACTGTTTCAACAGTATTGAGTGCCTCTTAGAGTATAAGAAGTCACATTATAAAGTTCTAGAAAACAATTTGGTTGGCACAGAGCTCTTCAAAGACAGGTGTTTTGTTTTTTTAAAAATACCACACTGGTAACATTTTATATTTGTAGCCACCACCATCAGCAAAAACCAAGTTTTTATTTTTATAGAGGGTTTCTTTTTTTTTGCCTTTTTATTGAGCACAGTTATAGTCTTGTGCATGCCCGGTATAAAACACCAAGTATAGTAATGCTTGATATTTCATGACATGTTTGGTGGAACCCCTATAACTGTTGCTTGGACTTCAAGTGCTGTGCTTTTCTCTTTGCCAGTATCCCAAAGATTGATTAGAGGAGGATAAAGCTCACTGAAGGAAAAGGGTTGTTTCTTCAGGTAGTGCCTGAAATAGCTGTGTCCTGTATCACAGTTCATTTCGTGGGAGAGGCAACTGAAGAGAGACAGTACACAAAAAAATACCAAAAGAGTACCAAGGCAGGCAAGAAACATGGTGATGTTGATTTTCTCGTAATTTGTCACTTCTGGATCCAATCCTATTGTGGTGACATTGATGCATTGCCTTGCATCCTGCAACTGAACAGTAGGAATATCCATACAAATTTTATATTCCGTTGATGGAGTAAGGTGTGTAAAATTGTAGACTTTGATATGGGATGGGATTCGAGTGCTCCGGGATGCCAAAGAGCTTCCATCCTTTGGAAAAGCAGTCCATCTGATGGCAGGCTTTACTATTTTGGAATTTGCTTTCCAGGACAATAGGATGGAATGAGACTGCACACTTTCTACAGTAATGGACAAAGATTTATGGTCGTCTTGGGAGGAAGATCCATCCACATTAATCATAATGGATTTTAAATCGGCACCAACTAAATTAGTTGCTATGCATGTGTATAGACCACTTTCCTTTTGTGTTATCTCACTGATATCAAGTGTGCCTTCTGAATGTACATAATATTTCAGCGAAACAGTGTTGGGCAAAAGTTTATGTCCTGATGGAGTTATCCAGTATATTTCAGGTTCCGGTTCTGCAGTTGCTCGGCAGTGCAGGGAAATGTAGCTGCCTGTTTCCAAATTTAGTTTTGAAGGAAAACTTTCTGGGGCTATCAGTGGAAGGCAGATTTCCATCATTTCCCTGAAATGAATCTTCCTAACGTTCTGGCCTTGAAATTCAGGAGGATCCACACAAAATAAGGACTCAGGTTCCATAAATCGAATGCTGGTTTTATTCATATTGATCCATCGGATGACACAGTCACATCGGATTGGGTTGCTATGTATGCTGATTTCCTTAAGATTGGGCAAGGACTCAATTGTACTACGGTACAGGGCACTAAGTGCATTACTGTTAAGCATGAGAGATTCTAGTCGGGGAAGTCGGTAGAATGCATTTGGATGTATGTACGATAATCTTGGGTTATTGGTCGCTTCAATTTTTCTCAAATCTGGCAGATTATCAACAGCCAAGTTATCAATTGATATCAATTCAGGCATGTTATTAATTCCCAATTCTTTGAGGTGTATCATATTGCTAAAATCCCCCCTTTGTATTCTGTTAATAGGGTTCTTGTTTAGATCCAAAAATTTAAGATTTGTAGCCTTTTGAAGAGCTCTATGGGGCACTTTAACTAATCTGTTGTCATAAAAAGAGATGCTTTCTAAATTTTCAAGTCCAGCCAAGGCATTATCTGGTATTTCTGTGAGATTTATGCCTGCTAAAACCAGGCTCCGCAGATTGATAAGGGGCTTAAAGTTCCTATCTTCGATTTTGATGATTGGATTTTCTCCAATCATTAGGATCTCCAGATTAGGAATAGCTTCAAACCACTTTTTGTTGATCAGTTGCAGGCTATTTGAATTGAGATGAAGCCTAAGAAGATTATCGAGGCCTATGAAAGCTCCTGGTGCAATTGCAGAAAGCAGGTTGTGATTAACATAGAGCTCCTGGAGGTTGCTCAGCCCTGAGAGACATTCATCAGGCAATTCTGTAAGTCTATTTTCCTCCAAGTACACTGAAAGAAGCTGCGGTATCTTGCGAAGTTCAATATTAGCCACCGAGGACAAACTGTTCTGAGATAAATCCAAACCAGTGAGGTTTACTGGAAATTCTTTTGAGTATTCAATTTTTTGAATGTTGTTAGCTTGTAGAAGTAGAACTTGCGTATTAGCAGGCAGTTGGGCTGGGAAAGTAGAGAGACCTACATCATTGCAGTCCACTGTCCAGGCTTCCATGTATATGGATCTTGGAGTAAACCATGGTCTTACCTCACACATACATGACTGTGGGCAGTCTGTTTTTTTATCTACAGCATGCACTAGTGCAATTATTGTTAGACCAAGTATAAGGTGAATTTTGAGTGGGATGTCCTTCATCTTAGCTCTCTATTCTAGAAAGGTAATTGGCCCTTAATGATTGCACAATTACAGTTTTTAAGTACAGAAGGAATTGGTCATTTGATAAGGCAAGCACTTGCATTTGTCAAATGGTATATGCTGAAGAAATATAAAATCCCTCTGCTTCTTGGGTATAAGTTGCCCCCTTGCAATCACTTGCTTCAATCAGGAGAGGCATATTGAGGAATTGTAGTGTTCTCTTCACTAGGATTGATGGCAAAATGGATTTGAAACTGAGGTCCATCCAGATGGTTGTAGAGATGAACACAAACCTCTTTATATCACAGTATACGCTTTAGATTCAATGTTTTCCGTCATTTTTGTTGTGTTGGAAAATACACCTAAAGTGCAAAGAAAGACAACAATTAATATATGATGTTTGAAAAACCTAAGAAAATACAAGCAAAAAATATCATTAATCAAGACTTTTACTGGGAAAGAGAATAATTTTGCCCTCCTGTTTGAGGTTAAAACATACAATTGCTTCATGCAGCTGGTGAGTGGTCAGTATAAAATTCTGGTGTCTAAAAATATACTGCCAATATAGTAATCTTATGTGTGTTTTTACATAGTAATATGTCTATAAATACAATCTTAGATTTCTATTCAGTTGTACTGAACCAAATCAGAATTCACTCCTAGGTAAGTGTATATAGGACTAGACTCACAGCTTATTGTGAATTATTGTGTGTGTGTATGTATTGGTGATTTAGGATGTAAGGTGTTTTGGGTGTCACCAGTATCGGATAGTACAATATTGTGGAATTAATGTCTGCTGCTGTCTTTCCCTCTTAGAGCAATTTGCTGCCTCCACCGCAGTGACATTACTGCCACAATATACATTTGATATGGGATTTAATGTAGACTGGTGATGAGATATAAAATTATGATTTGTATCTTGTTTTATGATAATTCTCTTGTAAAAATTTCTTTGAAATCCTTGTGACAGAAAAGCTGTATATAAATATAAATACATGTCTGCATAATTGGCAGTAATGTCAGTAACATCATTGATATAAATTTGAGTCATTGAATATTTTATCCTTAATCACTGCAGATTAGGTGTGCGGAAATTTAACTGAAGGAGCTTTATCAGAAAATTCATGCATATTTGAATTTCTCTTATTCCCTGCCTATAGTCATGCATGTCTGTAAAGTTCATTTTCTGCATTGGATATGCAAAAATAATTCCACAGTTTCATGAATCCTGAACAAGGTGTTTATGCAAATGCATACAACTGGCATGTAAGACACACTGCAGATAGAAAGTACATAAGTCATTTAACTCAACTAGAAAATGATCGTGTCAAGCACACTACACACTATCACATACTGTAGCATATAGTACACGTCTTGTAAAGCAGTCACACTGTTTCTAACCTCTTTGTCTTTTATTTTAAACCTTACATTAGCATACAATGGTGGCAGCAATGTTTACAAATTGTGGAATAAGGTCAGTGATTCCTTGATACTGATAAATATATTTTGAGATGTTCCTGGTTAAGTTAAAAATGCACAGAAAGCAGCATTTCATTGTCAGGGATGTTTTGCAATACGCACGCCATATAGAAGTCTGAATTAACATCTGCTTTGGCTCCTTTCCTTCATTTGATGACACTGAAGCATTATCTAGAAAACTGGCATACAGCTTTCAGATAACCAGGAAGTATTCTACCAATGAAGAGCATTATCTGAAATGAACACTACTGATGTCAAGAGGAGAATCTTGTTAAGGCTGTTGAAGCTACCTGTGTTTAGAAATGTTTTATTTTATATTCCTTTTGCATCCATTATATAGTTAGTTGAAGTTGCTCTTGCCCCACCTCTCTCTCTCCACACACACACACACACTCACTTACAGGTGTTATATGTGTAGATGTACATCTATTGGATGTGGGTTCATTTCAAAGTACTAAAGGCATGTTGATTAATTATCCCACCAGTTCTCATTGACAACCCATGACCATTATGACTGACTACACTGGAGAATGAGATTGACACTGTGCAACTGTGACTTATGCAACTGGCTAAGATGAAATTCGGATCACACAAAAATATTAGTTAATAAGGCATCTTTTTTCAGACTCTTAAGACCAATCCGTTTACTCTCTTGTTATTAGCGATTTCAATGGGAGTCTTTTGGAGCAATTACTTAACACTTATATTTATTGCATAGGGAATTTACTGAGATGTTGCAACATATTTTGGCTACACAGCAACTAATGAGCAATTTCAGAACTATTCTCTTACCCCTTCCATTAAACGTTTGATTAATGATATTAGGCAGCCACAACAGCATTTCCATAGGCAGTCGAAACGACATTTCCATAGCATATACATATGCACGACATTACTACTAAGTGTGTTTTTGGAGACAATATTTTTATTTTCTAGGTACAATTTAGAATGCTCCTAGAAAAGCAGGGGGCAAGGTGGTTTTGGAGGAGGCGAGAAGAAATGGCCCTACAAAACAAGTTTGGATTATCATGCTGTTATCATGAAGAGTGAAATTTAACTTTACTGTTTTGTTTATTTATTATATTTATTTGTTTATTTACCTTATTTATATCCCACCTTTCTCTATCCCAAGGGGGAGTCAAGGTGGCTTACATATAGCACCTCCATAGTGCCTTCAAAACATACAATGGTTGACAAAATTTTTAGATATAAGAAACATGGATAAATTGACATACATATTATCAAAAAGGAAGGGTATGCCAAAGACAGAGATAGATTTGAAACAAGTCACAACATATTTAGTAGAAGAAAAGAACATGAAAATAATTATCTAAAAAGAAAAATATGGATAATATGAAGGAACGGAGAGTAAGACACAAAAGAACAAGGAAGGTAAAAGGAAAAGGAAAAGGAAAAGACATCGTAAAAGATACCAGGAAGTCAAACTCAACACTTTTATACAAGGCTGTAGCCAGAAAGAAATTTTGGGGAGGGTTGAAAATTTGGGGGGGGGGGGGGGGGGGTTGAAAATTTCTGGGGGGGGTTGAAACCTGCCTCCTAGCTCACACTGAAGCAAAGAGCACAGCAGGGGGCAGAGCAGCCTTCAATAGCCTGCAGCTCCGCCCCTGTCAACCACCTCCACCAAGTCTGGCCTCCTTAATGAGAGCATTCAACCCCCCCCCCCCAACTTGGTTGCTTCGCTACATTGGCTATTGCTGCAAGTAATGACAGTGTGAATAAATTGTCAATATTTGCTTGAAATAGCGCTTGCAGTTCTGGAGGGACACTTAATTTTTTGCGTCTCATAGACTTAGCATGGGGATTTGGTTAACCAGTTAAAATTCATGAGTAAACCAGGTTTATTTTTTTTAACCTGAAAAATTTCGGGGGGGGGGGGGGGTTGAACCCCTAACTCCCCCCTCCCCTCGCTACAGGCCTGCTTTTATAAAATTCACACACCCCCTCTCACTGTCTTATTTCTGCTTCTACACTCTTCTGCACACTTTATAATCAGCAACCATATTTCTCTCATGGTTTTAGATATTGGACATTTCAACTTCATTTTCTCCTTCTATTTTTCAAAGCTACTGTCCCCCTTTTTATCTATACTCTTATACACTTCTTTTCCCCGCATCTGTCCTGTTATTGCATTTTATCCTCCTTTTGTATGCTTTTATTCAAAATTAAATAAAAATTACTTCCAAAAAAAATAAAATGGCAATTTAAAATAACTTGAATCAAAATTAATATATAATAACATAATTAAAATACATTTCAATGTAATCACACCATCCAGGGTCAAAGTCAATTCCAGTTGCCAAATTTTAAATGATGTCACTGTTGTGAGCTGAAAGATGACATATATGGATATGTGCTAGTGTGTATGTATATTTGTATATGTTCACACATGAATATAAAATAACCATATGGCATAGTACAGTTAAGCTCCATTAAGGCTTTATAGAGAGTGTATAAACAGGGTTATAGTTTTTAACTTCCCAGTCCTGCCTCCATGTCCCCATCTTAGAGAGTTTTCCATGTTCAGGCATCTGGATTCTCAGGAGTTTCAAGTTTTGACCCAAATTGAGATATTATCAGTTTTAGCCCTTTTCATGACACATTTGGAGATCTCTTTTGGAGATAAGACGGAGGACTTTCACATTGATTCTTTGAGTGATTAAAATATTTATACCCTGTCCTTATCTGAAGATTTCAGCTTACAATAAAATCAAATTAACAATAAATCATTGCAAAATTTAAAAGGTTAAAATATCATAAAGAGTGTTTCAAATTTCAAATATGAATCAAGTTAAAACAATATTGACATGTGCAGCCTAGATAAAATCAGTTTGGCCTGAATGCTTTAATAAACAGTCAGGTTTTAACTGGATCGTGGATCTAGTTGCATTTAACATGTGGCCTTCAGCAATGTTCTTACATCCTCAATGGCTGATTCTGTAAAATCACGTTAGGAAGTGGATTAAACTGATCAGGCTTCTTTGCACCTACACAATTGCCCAGGAACCTGTCCAAGGATGGTATGGTGGCCAAATTATCCACTGATTGCGGATAAGAATTTAACCCAAGAATATTTTTTTTTCCATTCACAGTCTATTAAGATGTGATGATGTGTATATCCATGTCCATTTGAGATCAGCACTAGACTGTGGCAGGGCACAGGAAATGAGAAGAAAAGGACAGAGAAGAGGGGTACCTATGGAAATGATGTAGTTTCCTCTCCTATGGGAGTAATTGTTTAGTTTCCGACCAGGCATGTTTTGGCATTTTTAAAAAGTGTGTCAGTACAGCACTCTGCGATTTTTAGTCTCGGGGTCGAGCCCTTTATGAGATATACTCTGATTGGCTGCAGCAGATTTTCAGGCTTTTTCTGAAATTTCGGGTGAATTTTTAATGTGCTGATTCAGGCTTGATGCACACTGCAGTACTCTTTGGGGTGTGCAACTTACTCATCAGTCAGCTTCATACCACATTATAGTGTCTGTTTAGAATGTTTCTATAAATACCTGAAGCCCATATTTATATAAGAAGCTTCATAGGTGCCTGGGATTTCATTTTGGATGTCATAAGTCTTATTCTTTCATTGTAAGTACCATTCTTACTACAGATGTTCTTGTATGATTACATCTCATTAATTTTCATTCAACGCTAGATACATATCACAAGAATGTATAGGTTTATGCTAGTAATCTCATAGTCACTTTTAAATGTCCATGGGGGGAGGGGGGCAGTCATCATTAGTTGATAGGTGACTTGAAGGCAAACACGCACTGGTGTCTGGTGGATGTAGATGCTAATGGATACACTCAGCCATTTTCCACCTCTTTCCTTTACATATGAGTGTAACGTGCAGTCTTGGAATGCA